TGTGTAAATAAACGTAAAATTTTATTCTGAACAAGAATATGTTCATACCGCAAATGAGTCCTTTGAGTGGATACAAACTTCAAGTGCGATTTCGGTGTAAGTATAATAAAATAGAAATTAATTTTATAATTTACATTAAATTTTCAATCACCTTTATAATCAAATTAAAATTTATTTAAATCGACATAATTATATTATATTGCTCAAAACAGATTAAAATTATATACATATATGATATATATGATATATATATACATATGTATATATATATATTTATAGTATATTGTTCTAGTATAAAACATTCAGTGTATTTTGAAATTATTAATCATTAATTATTATACTATAATTTCCGATATGAATGAAAGATAGATAGCGTAATACGATATTTTTATTTACGATCAATATATTTCATATTAATATTTTTTATACAAGATGTTCAAAATTCGATGATACACTTTCGAAGCATAGAAGATTTCACAATGGTTTCGGAAAAAATTAAACAGACAAAACCAACTTGGTGGACAACTATATTTATTTTTTTAAAGGTTATGAATCTCAAAGACTTTTCAGTGTATATGGTATGTATTTAATGTAAATTATAATTTCAAAAAAAAAATTACTGAATAAATTTTCCTTTAAACTTTTATTTATTCAAAAATAAAAGATTAAAGGAATGAAAACTGATGTTTTTGATTCGCTGGACCCATCTGTTTCAGGAGCTCTTTCGATCTTTACTATTTCTCGTGTTAAACTTAAAAAAATAAGTAGCTCATTTTCCTAAAATTTTAGACATAATCTTCTTTAGCTGGCAATACAACAAGTCACCCAATTTTTTGAGGAAATTAAGTAGAAGCAAATGGACTTTTACTACGGACCGAATTTACACTTTTGCTCATATAACCAGAGAAATAATCAATCAATTTACTTAAAGTTTCATATTTAAAGGAAATTTTCATAATCTTATGCAACACATTGACAATGCGGTCGGTTATGTGCTGTTCACACCATGTTTTTTTTTTATAGTTCTCTTCCTTTTTAGCACTTTTCCACAAAAAAAATTTACTTATTAAAAATGTACTTATTTGTTTCACTTTGTCCGTCCGTCCGTCTCTACACACTTGAAGATGTATAGAAAATTGAAATTTCTTATGTACACGGATCTTTACTAGAAACTTATTTTCGTAGAAGAAAATTTTTACCTATCTCTCACCCCCTTTAAAAGTTATAGTCCCTCAAAGTCCTTAAAATACCATTCTTTAAGTAATTATTGTAGCCAAACCAGAAATAGGTTTTAAATTCTGCAAATACAGAGAAGTAGTGGCATATTTGAACTTTAAAAAAACAAAATGGCTATTAAAATTTAGGGTTATCTAAACTCCGTTTTTTACAAAATTTTGATATTGTGTTTCTTCTAGACCTCAGGTTTAGATATTCATAAGTAGTTCATTTCATTTGAAGAAAATTTTTTTCCACCATCAATCCCTCTCATTCCATTCCACCATTATCGCCTCTCGAAGTTTGAAAATTTGCACCTTATAGTTGCGAAAGTGCAAGCAAAAATTTTCTAAAATTCCATGCCATTAAAAATAAAAATTATTTCTCTTAACTCGGGCAAATTTACTCTTAAACTCGAGCATTATGTTAATGCCTCTTTAAATTTTTTTTATTTTTTTTTCCAAAGATTGCTTGCATTGCTCATCCTAAATGTATGCAATTTTTGAAACATATTGGTATATGAATGAAACTAATTTTAATAATGTAGTACAGAGACTGTTCTTAAAAGCAGCAGTATTTTCACTTGTTAAAGTGGAAAGTGCTACATTACAAACTATTGGATTTGTCTATTTTTCTTTCCCGCTTCATTCTTCATTATTTTTTGTTGTTTTTTTTTAGCTCAATTGTTTTATTGTGATGAGTTGAGTAGTGCCTTTAATCGTTTTATAATAATAAAAAAAAAACATTAAAAGCATCAATGTTAACCATTTTTATTTGATTTTTGTTTGTTTTGGGGAAGTTATTAGCTCACAACAAACTAGTTAATCAAAATTTTGCACAAAACTTTGGTAATTTTTTGTTTTTATAAAATTTCATTTCGCTATTGTGTCTATGCTACTATTAATGTTCAATGTCAAAAATTCATTGTTATTATTGTACTTTGTAGTATATTTTAAGATTGGTCTTTGGATTAATAATTTTTTAATTATTTTTTTTTTTTTTTAATTTATGATTTCAAAACTTTGCTATGTAGTAAGAACATATATATAGTATAAATCGTAAAAAGGTCAATTAATAAAAATAATAATATTAATTTATAAAAATTTGAAATATCCGCAATTTAAATGAGGTCCATAATATTATTGATAACGTATAGTAATTTAGTACAATTAAGTTCATCTTAAAAGAAATATTGTATAAAAATAATAATATAGTACGCATAATGAGACCTCAACATTGCCACTATTTTAATATAAACTTTAATTATTATGAAGCTCATAAGCTAAATTGTGTATATGAACACCCGTAATAGTCCTTTTTTGGTCCAACAACTTCATTGAATTTAACTTTTTGGATCCAAAAATCAGTTGGATGACTTTAGCTCGAAAACTTGGCTGGCAATTTCAAATTTTTGTATACTTACTTTTTTTTTAATTCAATTTTTTTTAGAGCAAAATTTTAGAGTTAGAGCCTTTGCTGACGATGTTGCTTGCTCATATTCCTCTAGTTTTGTGCTTGTTTGTGATATTAATTTTGATTCAAAAATTATTAAACATTGGCTTGCTTAACATAAAAACTCTTATGTTAAGCAAGTGATTAAAACTAAAGTACTGTTTTTTAGTCTGAATGATTCGTTGCCACTGGCTCATAATTTATATTATTATTTTCCTACATGTCTAGGTTAATGAAATACTTGAATGATTTGGATTATACTGAATTAAATTTCTATTTTAATGACATTGGCAGTTGTGATTTTGGCTGCTTTAAAGCGGCCAAAATGTGTTATAGGTCTTTTTAATATTTAGGTGTGATTTTAAGCAGATTGGTTCCTAAAGGCTACTGATCTCACTATATTATGTTTTATTTAAATCAAGGCTACAATATGGTATTGTGATTTCAGGTGGAATGCATGATGATTTATTAAGACCACTTCTTTTACAGCCAAGGAGTATAATTAAAATAATTATGAGAAAAAATCGTTGAGTTCATACGTTTAAGTTACGATCTTTATTAAAAATATTGCCATTGAAACATCTCTATTTAGCAAATAACTTTAAAAGGAATTAAATGTATAGCTTTAATTTTTAAGTGTTTATCTTTCAAATAACATTGGGATTACCATACCATTTTTTGTTATACTGTATTCGCCACTGTAATTATTTGCACAGAATGCCTTTAAATTATTTTATTTTTTCATTAATAGTTGGAATAATCGTTTTATTTTACAATCTAAGTACTAAGCAGTAAGTAAATGAAATAAAATTTAAATGAAAAAATTGAATGAAAATTATTAATTACACTAATTCTTCGTATAGAGACAAAGAATATTTTGTGACATTCAATTTCAAAGTGACAAATTCTTCCTAAAACGACAATATTTTATTTGTGCGTTGGTATGCACATATCTGTCTAATATTAAATTAAATGTCAGAAATTTTAAATTTTTAAATTTTTACCAGTGGATCAAAATAAAAATTGTGTATTTTTAAACGTGTAAAAATTTCATAGGAAAAACTGCAATAGTTGAATATTACTAGAAAACAAAACTCAAGGATTCTCTATTAATATTCAGTGAATTGTATGAAATCCGAAAAATTAAACTAAGCTATAATGATTTTCTCAAAATGCGAATCATAGAGCTATTCTGAAATTTTACTAAACTTAATTCTTTTTTCTTTTAATTAAAAAAATAAATGGTAAAAAAAAAATATGAATTTAAACTGGATATTTTTTTGTAAGTTTTTAGATTAAACTAAATATATACATATATATATTTATATATATATACCAATCATTACGCATACTCACATACACAGACTATTTGTTTAAAATTGAAGAAATCAAGATTTTCTGTATATGTATATGAAATTATTAATAAAAACTATTTACTATTTTTAGGGGTTATTATGGTAATCGTTTTTATATGAAATCGGTATGAAGTTGTAGAGGTATTCCATAATTAATTTAAAGAAATTCAATCAAGTAAATAGTATTTCAAATTCAAAATTAATTTTAACAAGGTACGAGTATACACACAATTCAGAAAGAGTAACTCATAAAATGAATTGTGTTGCAATAAAAATGCGTTGCCCACCTATTATTCTTTCTGAATTCTGTTAAATTAATTGATTTTAAATAATAAACGAGAAAAAATAGAGTTGACCGTGTCAACTCTGTGATACCCGTACGAATTTGATATCCAATGTGCTAGTAAATATCCCATTACTAACTATGGGACAGGCTATGACTTTAAGTTTCCGTATTACCATATTAATTTGTGCAAAATTTCAGTACTGTGCTTTCAATATTTTCTGAGATAATGCCAAATAATTCTTGGAGTAGTATGGTAGCTATCACAAGTGCTCACTTTTAATGAATATAGATGTCATTTTACTATAATTCATTTTGCAAAATTTTAGTAGTGTATAGCTAGATTGAACAGTTTTTAAGCCAAATAACTTTTCAAGTTTCATGGCAGCTATCAGAAGGAGCAAGCAATTTCGATAACTTTTATTAAACACAATGGCACCAATGATATAATCGCTTGTGCCAAAATTCAATACTGTAGCTTCTATAAATTTTTAGATATAGCCAAATAAATTATATGGCAGCTACCCGAACCAGTAACTCGATTATATCCAATTTAAATAAGTTTCTGGCATTTACGATAATAAATCATTCGTGAAAATTTGGTGAACGTACCTTAATTACTTTTTGAGTTACCGTTAGGACGGACGGACGGACAGGCAGGCAAACAAAGCTAAATCGACTCAGAATTTAATGCTGATCAAAAACATATGCTTGAGTCTATGTCTCAGACCATTATTTCTTAGCGTTACAAACGGTAAGGAAAATTTTGAACATACGTTCGTACGGGTATAAAAAGTGTTATTAACCTAAAATTAGCTAGTATAACCATGGGGTTTTTTTTTTTGTTATAATCTCAAATATTAAATGATAAAAATGATGGTATAGAATTGAAAAAGAAAAAAAAAAGAAAAAAAAAACATACAAACAAAAAAGTGCAAGTAAAGATATAAAAAGGCAAATCGATTAATACTTATGAATCAATTCCATTTTGATTAAATAACGGAATATTACCAAAAAAAGAAAAATTATTTAAGACGTTGGAATTATGAAGGTCAGTAGTTTTTTCCTTTTTTTTTATTTTCTAGAACTTTTAAATAAACAATGAATTTCTTTTTCTTTATGTTGTTTTCTATTCATCCTTTCTAGATAATTTTATGCCTCTGTGCTACTCTAACCGTAGCTAATGCTGGATTCTTATTAGGTGGTCTTGGAGGACTTGGAGGAGGAGGTGGTGGTGGTCATCATATAGGTGGAGGTGGTGGATATGTTGGACATGGTGGAGGCTTTGGAGGTGGACATGGCGGTGGTGGCTTTATTGGTGGAGGAGGTGGACATGGAGGTGGTTTCGATGGTGGACATGGTGGAGGCTTTGAAGTTGGACATGGAGGTGGTTTTGCAGGTGGACATGGTGGTGGTTATGAAGGTGGGGCTTATGGTGGTGGAGGTCATGCAGCTTATGGCGCCGGTGGTGGCGTAAAAGTAATACGAGTAATTCATGAAAGTGCTCATTCTGGTGGTGGTTTCGGTGGAGGAGGTCATGGTGGCGGCTACAGCGGTGGTTATGCTGCTGGTTATTCAGGAGGCTATGGTGGTGGTCATGGTGGAGCTGGCTATGGTGGAGTTGGTTTTGGTGGTGGTCATACTGGTGGTCATGGTGGAGGTCATATTAAAATAATTAAAATTATTCATAGTGGAGGTGGTAGTGGTCATCATGGTGGTGGCTGGTAATTTAGAAAAGTGTTAAAAATAATCAAACTTTGAAGTATGATAGAAAATAATTGTAAATATGTAATATAAAGTAAAAAAATTATAATATTTCTAATTTTAAATATTTAAAAAATTTAGTAAATTATAAATTTATGCGCAAAATATTTTGAATTTATTAGTGATATTTTAACTGTAGTTAATAAAAAAATAAAAAATTTTTTTTTGTATGAAAATTTTTTTTTTGTATTCTGTGTTAAATTTAAATATGTAATTATATTGCGTAATATTATGTTTAAATTTAAATATAAATATTTTGCATACATTTAGGATATTGAAGAAAAAAACTTATTCTCTTGTTAAAGGAAATAACTATTATTTGCCTAAATTAAGGTAAATAAACTATTTTGTTTTTTAGTTTTTAATGGTATTTACCACTTTAAAGTCTTTATGCTTCTGAAGCAAAGAGAACTAAAATTAAAACAAAATTATTTTTATATTTTGGACTTGTTTCAATGTATATACTAAGCAATTTGGGTAGGTCAAAAGACAAAAATATAATTTTGTTATAAAATTAGAAATAATATTGCGAGTTTCATTGTTTAGTTCTTGTTTTGCTTTATTTATTTTAGTTGAAGATTTGAAGACCTACTTTAGTTGAAGCGCAAAAAGAAACACCAACGTTTTGTTGAGCTTAATATAAGAATTACACTTCCTATTTATGACACCAGTTAGCCTGGTGTTATACTTAAAAAATATTGTAACTTTGGTAATTTTTATAGAATTTTAATTTTAAAGAAAATAACAGGCAATCATGAACCATTTAAAGAAAATTTCAGAAAATTAAAAATAAAAAGTTGCTTTTTATTTTTCCTGCTGGCCTGGTATTTTTTTTGATAAAAATTATAATTTTGGTAGTTTTTCCCAACTTAAATTTAAGAAAAGTAACAGGCGATCATGAACCATTTAAAGAAAATTTCAGAAAATTAAAAATAAAAAGTTGCTTCCTATTTTTCCTGCTGGCCTGGTATTTTATTTCATAAAAATTATAATTTTGGTAGTTTTTCCCAACTTAAATTTAAGGAAAGTAACAGGCGATCATGAACCATTTAAAGAAAATTTCAGAAAATTAAAAATAAAAAGTTGCTTTTTATTTTTCCTGCTGGCCTGGTATTTTTTTTGATAAAAATTATAATTTTGGTCATTTTTCGCAACTTAAATTTAAGGAAAGTAACAGGCGATCATGAACCATTTAAAGTAAATTTCAGAAAATTAAAAATAAAAAGTTGCTTCCTATTTTTCCTGCTGGCCTGGTATTTTATTTTATAAAAATTATAATTTTGGTAATTTTTCCCAACTTAAATTTAAGGAAAGTAACAGGCGATCATGAACCATTTAAAGAAAATTTCAGAAAATTAAAAATAAAAAGTTGCTTTTTATTTTTCCTGCTGGCCTGGTATTTTTTTTGATAAAAATTATAATTTTGGTAGTTTTTCCCAACTTAAATTTAAGAAAAGTAACAGGCGATCATGAACCATTTAAAGAAAATTTCAGAAAATTAAAAATAAAAAGTTGCTTCCTATTTTTCCTGCTGGCCTGGTATTTTATTTCATAAAAATTATAATTTTGGTAGTTTTTCCCAACTTAAATTTAAGGAAAGTAACAGGCGATCATGAACCATTTAAAGTAAATTTCAGAAAATTAAAAATAAAAAGTTGCTTCCTATTTTTCCTGCTGGCCTGGTATTTTATTTTATAAAAATTATAATTTTGGTAATTTTTCCCAACTTAAATTTAAGGAAAGTAACAGGCGATCATGAACCATTTAAAGAAAATTTCAGAAAATTAAAAATAAAAAGTTGCTTCCTATTTTTCCTGCTGGCCTGGTATTTTATTTCATAAAAATTATAATTTTGGTAGTTTTTCCCAACTTAAATTTAAGGAAAGTAACAGGCGATCATGAACCATTTAAAGAAAATTTCAGAAAATTAAAAATAAAAAGTTGCTTCCTATTTTTCCTGCTGGCCTGGTATTTTTTTTTGATAATAATTATAATTTTGGTCAATTTTGCAAATTTCACATTTTAGGGAAAGTAACAGGCGATCATGAACCATTTAAAGTAAATTTCAGAAAATTAAAAATAAAAAGTTGCTTCCTATTTTTCCTGCTGGCCTGGTATTTTATTTCATAAAAATTATAATTTTGGTAATTTTTCCCAACTTAAATTTAAGGAAAGTAACAGGCGATCATGAACCATTTAAAGAAAATTTCAGAAAATTAAAAATAAAAAGTTGCTTCCTATTTTTCCTGCTGGCCTGGTATTTTATTTCATAAAAATTATAATTTTGGTAGTTTTTCCCAACTTAAATTTAAGGAAAGTAACAGGCGATCATGAACCATTTAAAGAAAATTTCAGAAAATTAAAAATAAAAAGTTGCTTCCTATTTTTCCTGCTGGCCTGGTATTTTTTTTTGATAATAATTATAATTTTGGTCAATTTTGCAAATTTCACATTTTAGGGAAAGTAACAGGCGATCATGAACCATTTAAAGTAAATTTCAGAAAATTAAAAATAAAAAGTTGCTTCCTATTTTTCCTGCTGGCCTGGTATTTTATTTCATAAAAATTATAATTTTGGTAGTTTTTCCCAACTTAAATTTAAGGAAAGTAACAGGCGATCATGAACCATTTAAAGAAAATTTCAGAAAATTAAAAATAAAAAGTTGCTTCCTATTTTTCCTGCTGGCCTGGTATTTTATTTCATAAAAATTATAATTTTGGTAGTTTTTCCCAACTTAAATTTAAGGAAAGTAACAGGCGATCATGAACCATTTAAAGTAAATTTCAGAAAATTAAAAATAAAAAGTTGCTTCCTATTTTTTCTGCTGGCCTGGTATTTTTTTTTGATAATAATTATAATTTTGGTCAATTTTGCAAATTTCACATTTTGGGGAAGTAACAGGCGATCATGAACCATTTAAAGTAAATTTCAGAAAATTAAAAATAAAAAGTTGCTTCCTATTTTTCCTGCTGGCCTGGTATTTTATTTCATAAAAATTATAATTTTGGTAATTTTTCCCAACTTAAATTTAAGGAAAGTAACAGGCGATCATGAACCATTTAAAGAAAATTTCAGAAAATTAAAAATAAAAAGTTGCTTCCTATTTTTCCTGCTGGCCTGGTATTTTATTTCATAAAAATTATAATTTTGGTAGTTTTTCCCAACTTAAATTTAAGGAAAGTAACAGGCGATCATGAACCATTTAAAGAAAATTTCAGAAAATTAAAAATAAAAAGTTGCTTCCTATTTTTCCTGCTGGCCTGGTATTTTTTTTTGATAATAATTATAATTTTGGTCAATTTTGCAAATTTCACATTTTAGGGAAAGTAACAGGCGATCATGAACCATTTAAAGTAAATTTCAGAAAATTAAAAATAAAAAGTTGCTTCCTATTTTTCCTGCTGGCCTGGTATTTTATTTCATAAAAATTATAATTTTGGTAGTTTTTCCCAACTTAAATTTAAGGAAAGTAACAGGCGATCATGAACCATTTAAAGAAAATTTCAGAAAATTAAAAATAAAAAGTTGCTTCCTATTTTTCCTGCTGGCCTGGTATTTTATTTCATAAAAATTATAATTTTGGTAGTTTTTCCCAACTTAAATTTAAGGAAAGTAACAGGCGATCATGAACCATTTAAAGTAAATTTCAGAAAATTAAAAATAAAAAGTTGCTTCCTATTTTTCCTGCTGGCCTGGTATTTTATTTCATAAAAATTATAATTTTGGTAATTTTTCCCAACTTAAATTTAAGGAAAGTAACAGGCGATCATGAACCATTTAAAGAAAATTTCAGAAAATTAAAAATAAAAAGTTGCTTCCTATTTTTCCTGCTGGCCTGGTATTTTATTTCATAAAAATTATAATTTTGGTAATTTTTCCCAACTTAAATTTAAGGAAAGTAACAGGCGATCATGAACCATTTAAAGTAAATTTCAGAAAATTAAAAATAAAAAGTTGCTTCCTATTTTTCCTGCTGGCCTGGTATTTTATTTCATAAAAATTATAATTTTGGTAATTTTTCCCAACTTAAATTTAAGGAAAGTAACAGGCGATCATGAACCATTTAAAGTAAATTTCAGAAAATTAAAAATAAAAAGTTGCTTCCTATTTTTCCTGCTGGCCTGGTATTTTATTTCATAAAAATTATAATTTTGGTAATTTTTCCCAACTTAAATTTAAGGAAAGTAACAGGCGATCATGAACCATTTAAAGAAAATTTCAGAAAATTAAAAATAAAAAGTTGCTTCCTATTTTTTCTGCTGGCCTGGTATTTTTTTTGATAAAAATTATAGTTTTGGTCAATTTTGCAAATTTCACATTTTAGGGAAAGTAACAGGCGATCCATGAACCATTTAAAGTAAATTTCAGAAAATTAAAAATAAAAAGTTGCTTCCTATTTTTCCTGCTGGCCTGGTATTTTATTTCATAAAAATTATAATTTTGGTAATTTTTCCCAACTTAAATTTAAGGAAAGTAACAGGCGATCATGAACCATTTAAAGTAAATTTCAGAAAATTAAAAATAAAAAGTTGCTTCCTATTTTTCCTGCTGGCCTGGTATTTTATTTCATAAAAATTATAATTTTGGTAATTTTTCCCAACTTAAATTTAAGGAAAGTAACAGGCGATCATGAACCATTTAAAGAAAATTTCAGAAAATTAAAAATAAAAAGTTGCTTCCTATTTTTCCTGCTGGCCTGGTATTTTATTTCATAAAAATTATAATTTTGGTAATTTTTCCCAACTTAAATTTAAGGAAAGTAACAGGCGATCATGAACCATTTAAAGTAAATTTCAGAAAATTAAAAATAAAAAGTTGCTTCCTATTTTTCCTGCTGGCCTGGTATTTTATTTCATAAAAATTATAATTTTGGTAATTTTTCCCAACTTAAATTTAAGGAAAGTAACAGGCGATCATGAACCATTTAAAGAAAATTTCAGAAAATTAAAAATAAAAAGTTGCTTCCTATTTTTCCTGCTGGCCTGGTATTTTATTTCATAAAAATTATAATTTTGGTAATTTTTCCCAACTTAAATTTAAGGAAAGTAACAGGCGATCATGAACCATTTAAAGAAAATTTCAGAAAATTA